TTAATTGTAGCATTTAGGTGTTATTTAGATCATGATGAGAGTGCAAGACCTCGGTGGAGCTGTAGAGATTAATCAGCGCAGCATGCTTCTTGTAAAATTAAACTACAGATCGAGAATTCAGGACCACTTATTTCCGTATCATTAAATAACAAAAGGGTCGGTAAGATTTTCGTACAAATCCAATACATTTATTATGCATACAGCAATTGCATGCTAATTCGTTGAAACATGTAGACATAATAAATGTAAGTCGCTGTACGGAATCTTACCAAAACGTCTATTACTAACATCTGTTATAAATGTTATATGTGACAGATCCTTGCCTAGAGGATTCATTGCTTCCTTTAATTTGATACATCACCATCCAAGTAATCTCGGATCACTGATCCTAATCCCAGTGTGCGACAAATGCAGACCGCAGACTTGCAGACTGGCAGGTAAGCGAGGTAAACATTGTTGTTAGATGATTTAACAGATTCCCTGTCCCTAAACTTTAATTCTTCTAAATGCCTTGTTTTAGGGATAAGAAATCTTTTAAGCATTTCACAACAATGTTTACCTCGTTTACCTGCAAGTCTGAAGTCTGCATTTGTCCTAATCCGGATCATTCCAAAGGAATGCAACCCTAGCTATGGGATGGTTCTTTATCTAGGGGATAACACATGTACATCCAATTCAACCTCTGAACAACTGGGCCCTGGAAGGATTCCAAGTCTTGTCCAGTTTTAGACCTTGCACCAGCTGACCACATACTTAAAATGGCCATTAAAAAAAAACACTAAAGTAAATTATTTTTGTCTACTCATCATTATCAGATTAGATAAGAGAGCCTCTTGTGTCCTATTTCAAAATATTGTAGGCTAATGTAAATAAACCTTTTTCCTGCCAGGCCATGTCATTTCATGAAAGAAAAGCATGGGAAATGGAGATTACTAATGATTGCATTTAATTAATAAGCTCTACCTAGTTGATTATTTTAAATATTATTAAAATCATATAATTGTAATTATACTTTAAAAGGTGATATACCATTTCTGCATATGGGAATGCTAATAAAATGTCTTGTTATGTCATTTCCCTCCATGACCTCAGCTACACATTGGATTGCTTTAGTTTGCTTTAAGTATTTATACTTGCAAAGAGCTTCAACCTTCTGATTTTTAGTCTCTTTCGCAGACACTCAGGTAGGAACGGCTTTGCGTTAATCCTGACATGAGCAACTGCGAAGGAGGCTAACTGACTTTTAGCAAACCGTACTTGTCAAGAGGTGAAAAATTCCAGAGACCAAATGAATTTCCATACCGATTAGCTTCAGACCAGAGTGGAACAAAACCTCAGAATATTTAAGTCCACAATGGTTGTAGCCTGCGTGCAGACATCTCGTCTGGCAATTAAGGAAATAGGAGATGTCTCCAACCAGGGGGCCGGGGGGGGGGGAACCCCCATATGAAAGTGATGGGGATGCTCTTCTGAAAGTTAAAATTAAACCCCAAGGGAGACCAATGTGAGTGTGGCTCAAGCTTAAACTGACCCCTACATTAAAGGAGACCATACTAAAACAGACATCACAACATTTTTTGTAAATTTCTTTATGCACGGCCCTAAGCCATACCTGAATGAGCAAATATAGTTACTTTCTGACCCAAACACGGCCTAAGCGAGACCAAAACCTGTAATTTACACTCCTAGGCAAGGCAAGGAGTATCCCCATCACTTTTATATGGGAGACCCCCAGCGTCTCCACCTAGACTACAATGGATAAAATCTTTACCCATTTTCAGACGAAGAAAATGCCTGCGAAGGCTGAGCAGATAACTATAGAATTGTGCCTTAGACATCATGACTTTCTAACAGTAAGGTGCCAATTTTGGGGGAATTTTCCACTCACACATCCAGCATGTAAAGGAAAAAATTAATTTTGGATTCATTTGGTAATGCTGAATCCATTAGCTTATACCAGACCATTTTAAGCTGTAATTTTGCCACCAATTGTTAGAGTAGGTTGTCTCTTAACAATCTGCCCTAACTTATCCTTATAACGCTCCTTAGTTATTAATTGCAACTATAACATTAAGTTTCTCAAATTTTATTGGCTATCAACTGTCCCAATTTCTGTACTATATAAATAGGACAGTATGCATCTGATGCCTGTAATTGGACAGCACACCACTGCAAGCAAGAAAAACTTTCGGAATTTCTTGTGTTTGAATTACAAAAACCTAAAATATCACAAATTTTGTTATAGATGTTGTCCAATTCGGTCTGTAATTATACTCGTGATTAACAAATTGGACTTCCGTTACACGGTTGTTCAATTTTGTTAATCACTCTTATGATTACAGACTGAATTGGACTCCACTCAGTCCTATTACCATTTTTTGTTGGCTTTTTTGGAAGAAAAATTTTGATTTTGCAGCAAAGCTAACTTTATAATAGTTTCATTTGCTTAACTCAATTTTTAGAATAAAATTCCATTTGTACTGGTTGATGTAGAGGAAAACAAGCCACCAGATTTTGCAAATGTAAGTCCTCTTGGTTTGGTTCCACTGCTACAAGATGGAGATCTCACTATTTATGGAAGGTAAGGGTCAGCAAACTTCAAAGCCAAAGTATCTAAACTAATAATATTAAAGCATGCAGCTTAAAAGAGTACACTCTCTTCTAGTGGTTTTGAAAGCCTCTTAATTTTTAAAAAATACACCTCCTGCAATATTCTCTTTAAAATAACCCAGTAAGAAAGAGACCTGGAGGTCCAAAGATTTCTTAAACCACGGCCTAAGTTAGACTTCATTAATTTTAAAAAACCAACCCACAGAGTTTTATGTGTGGAGCTATTTTTATTTCTTTGTATTGTAAATGCGCCGCCGGCAACTGCAGCCATCCTAGAGCTTTACTGCCGGCATGCCTGCGAAGTTGAACTTGAGTCAACTTCATAGGCATGTCAGCGTTAAACGGACTGGAATGACCAGTGTTGCCGGCGACTTCTGTTCTCATATCGAGACAGAATCTTAGTTAGTACCGGCAGTTATGTCGCAGGTGCATCGGCAGCTAATGAGAACCAGGCTTAAAGTTGGAGGTCATTCAGCTGAAGATCAAACGAACAAATTCAAACTTCCAGCACCTGAATAAGCTATACTGAATCAGTACATAATTATGAAGTGTTACAGTCATGGTTGATAAGTACAGACTATCATAATTTTAAGACTAACAGGGGGAGGGTAGAGGGCCTAAAAAGAGAAGAGGCTCTTGAGTTAATAACTTCCTTCTCCTGGAAAGGGGTGGTGGGGAGGGGGGAGGGGCTTATTTTAGAGGGGGGTTTAATAGAGGATTCAAGCTATGCTTTTAAGAGAGAAAATGTATTACGTTCACCAATTTACCATTTTTGTGTTAGAGAGCAAAGCCAGCTTACAAAACTGGAGTTTTTTTATCTTGCTTTGTTCAAGGGCTAGTTAGCCTTAATCCGAGATAAATTTTAAACAAACCTGACAAGTATTCATCGTGACTAACCCTGTATTTGCTTATTATCTTTTGAACAAGTTAGCCTCGGTTTGAATTCTTACATCATTCTAACACGTCTCCAGAGCGCAGTCTACCCTCACAATTTAACATTTCAGTCCTTTAAGCTTGCAAATGATGTACATTTGTACCGCTGGGTTAAAAAGTATACTGATTATCCTGTTTTTGTTTCAGCCAAGCCATAATATTTTACTTGGCAGAGAAGTTTTCGAACTATGTAAGCTTTGGAAAAGGTGATGAAAGACCGCATGTGGAGTCCGTCATACACTGGGCAGCAACCACACTTCTAAGGTGCTATAACATGAACCGTGGCAATGCTCCTACAAAATAAGTAGCCTTGAGAAAACAGCCCACATTTCACAACACCACCAGGAGGAAAGAGCGCAAAAATTGCATACTGATGACTTGTCACTACCCAGATCTGGGTAGTGCTTTTGATTGGTTGTTACAAATTTCCCTTGGGGCACGACCAATCAGAAGCACTACGGTACCCAGATCTGGGTAGTGTCACGTCCTCAGTATGGAACTTTTGCGTTCGTTCCTCAGACGTCACTTCGTGGGGAAAGCAGTGGTGCATCGCGAAATGTGGGCTGTTTTCTCAGGCTACAATATAACGGCAGCTAAAAATCTGTTAAATGTCTGTTCACAGAATATATTGTTGCCAAGAAATTATAAGCGACCTTAAGATTTGACTATGCGTAGGACTTTGGAATTTCGAGCTGACTCCAGTTGCTCAAAATAAAAAAAAGGTGCAAAATGCTATCCACTGAATAAATTTCCATCCAGTGGAAAGCACAATTGGTTTACTTAATACTTATCCGCTGAATAACGATTTATCTGGTGGATTGCGCTATCCAACGTTGAAACAACTGGGAAGAGAATTATAAGTCTTCGTTGTTGCTTACTGACAAATTAATTAAATACCGTAAGTGAGCGTTACGATTGGTTGCACATGAATTTGGTTTGAAAACTGGTGCCCTGAGTACAGTCTAAAGGTCGATGATTAGCTGCAGAAAGGCTTAAAACTTCACTATAAAAATAGGGAATTTAACTCACTAACTTTCCCACACCTGGTTAATCTTGTATGAATACTATAGGAAGTGCGTTTGACTTTTTATTTCCTCTAAGATGGAATTTCAGTAAGTGGGAGTGACGAATCCACAAAATAGAATGAGTATGCATTATTGAAAGGGGGCACACTAGACTATAGACGATTATTGCCGGCCCTACAAATGTCCAGCTGTCGTAGCCTTTCATCAGTAGGATGCCCAGCCTGAGAAAATGGTCGACATTTTGCGACGTCACCGCTGGTTTCCCTGCGAAATGAAGGAAATTTCCAACCAATCGGAAGCACCACCCAGATCTGGATAGTGACGCGTCATCAATGTGAAATTTCTTCATCGCGAAATGTCGGCTTTATTCTCAGGCTATAGGATGCCTAAAACGTGTGCACTCCACGATTGGTTTCGAATCCATTAACTCGTTCGCCAATTGCGAAGCATTTTGTGGGGAGCCACCCACAATGTGAACACAATTACTGATACGACATATTACTGAAAATACAACGCAAAACAAATCTATAATCCGTTACATCACTGAGAAACCAGGTGAGCGCGTCAACCAAAGCACGCTCTCGACTTAAAAGTTGTTAAAAATATTTTTATAGGGACGTCGGAAATAACTACGTTTATCCAAGTTTAAACCAAGCAGAAGACGCGTTATCCAAAAGAGCCAACATATCTCTAGTTGAGTTCGCAAAGACTGAGGTGAAGTTCCATCTGGATACCCTAGAAAAACACTATTTGTCTCAGCGTAAGTTCCTCTGCAGCACAGCCGCTCCCACGCTTGCCGACAGTTGGACAGTCATGGTTTTGTCGCTGCTAGAACTGGTCTCTTTTGATCTCACTCAGTGGCCAAAAACAAAGGCATGGATGTGCTCTATGAAGTCAAGAAGTGATTATGTAGATGTGAGTTACAGCCACGAAGAAATGGTGCGAAAGTGTGTTTGTAGCTCGAGGAACGGTGTCCCCGATCAAACGAAGATCTGAGCAGACGCTTAATCAGAGAAAAGACAGTGCCCGATGTCTTAAGAAGACTGCCTTACTCTTACTTTTTTCAATTCCAGAAGTACCCAAGATCAAAATTGATGAAAAAACAAGGAAAGTGAAACCACAAAATCATGGACTCTGCAGAACTATTTTTGACTAAGATGTTTTAGCCAAGCCATAACCATGAATTTTTCCACAGCCATAAGTAAAAGTTAAGTCGTAAGTTTTAGGATCGTGATAATAATAGCTCTTTCAAGTGGATCCGCAGCGTTATTCCCACATCATATTGCACTGTTAGATGGTATTCGATCCATTTGAACAGACCTAAAAGTTAAAACTCATTCATCATCCATCACCGGTCAAGAAAAGGAGTTCCAGTCCTGCAAATAATTTGTGTTTTCAAAGGGGAAATTTGTCGGACAAGGTCATCGTTTTAGTTGGAAAAACCAGAAAAATTGTCGCACATACATTATTAAAGTTGACTTTTAATTTTGTTTATCGCTATGTAACTACTGAACTCTTCAGCTACAAAAATGATAGACTTATTTGATTAGTCCGGTCATTATGTCCAGCCCAAGTAGGATTTCGTTAGTCGGATATTGCATGAATAAAAAACAATGAGTCAAGTACTCAAAGCGGGTTCAAACCGTTAGACTGAAGGGGCTTTGTCTTTGCGAACAAAAATCAATTTCGCCTAACTCAGAAAAATATGAGCAACAATGGCAAAAAAAGTCATTCATTCATGACTTAAGTCGGATTTTCACTGTCTCGAAATTTTTACGTGAGTGCACATGTAAGTGTTGCGCGCGTAAATGAAATAGAGGCAATGTTTGGAAAGTCGCGTGTAAACGTAAAATTTGATGCTATTTCATGATATGGTCTCACAAGATGAAATGAATTTGAAATATAGAATCTAGCAACAACCAACGACACAGTTTTTTTCCCATCACCTTTTTTTATTGTTATTATCTTTATCTCTCAGTTTATCGCGTTTATACTGTTCATTGCCATTCTCTCATCTGGCATTAAAGGAGCAATGTTGGTCTTAAATATAGGTTAAGTACTTTAAAAAAAGATCGAGGGTTTCTCAGCAATTAAGCGGTTTTCGCGTATTTTCCATGTCCCAAAAGAGAGGAAATTCATACTGAAGTGTGTCGCCCCACGTAAGAGAATCCGGATTCTGGAATTCGCGAAATTTTTGCTTATGGAACCAGAATCCGTGAATCTCGCTCAAGGAATCCGGAATCCCGCTGACGGTTTGAGTCCAGACTCCAAGGTCCACAGACCTTGGAGTCCAGAATCCACAATCCAGAAGATAAGATTGTCTTGGATTACCTTACGTGAGGTGATGTGTGTTTCCCTGTAATCAAGAAATATAGTTGTCATAACGACCAGATTTACTCGAAAAAGCGCCGCGTCAATATATTTTTTTGCGGCGGTTTTTCGTTGCGCTAGTACTTTGTGATGTTTCTTTCATTTTAGTTGTTTCGACCAAAAATAATAAGAAAAGCATACAAAATTAATTTAAGTCTATATCCCGTTCGAAGTAGTCATCATAGTAATGCCAAAAAATAAACAATCGATGCATTGTTGATGGGAGGGGCGCTTATTTGTATTTGTGCTTCGAACTATGGAGTTTAATTAAAGAAGGCGCTCTTTCCAGTAAATACAGTAGTCCTGAACAGAACTATTGGCCAAAATGACTGACGTTTCAATATTTTTTGCGGGAGTCGTCGAGAAATGCATCACAACGCCTAATAAACTCTGATGGAAAAAACTGATTATATCCCATACCAACCTAACACCTTGCTTACTTCTAACGGCAGTAACCCTAATTATTTAAATTCTTCTACCCACTCATCATCTCAGACTGAGATCGTTAGTGGGTTTAAGAATTTCTGAGATTCTCAGATGCCCGTTGAATTTGGAGTTTTTCAGCACACTTCACGGACCATTGCTTTTCACTCGCCCTTAAAAACGGTGGGTCACGTGATGTTGTCTGGTTCCCCGCGTGGCGGCGAAGCAATTGCTGCTTTGGCATTTATTAACTACCAACAAAGAAACAAGAAATACAGTGAGCCTTGTCACTTGTATCTCCTCAGAAAGGTTTTTCTTTTTTTTCTTTGTTGGAAATAACCCCGTTTTTCGATGCTTCATTCGTACTACACTTTAACGCCAGTAGAAATTTTTATCCTTTTACACCACGTGACCAAAAAAAACAACATCATTTGAGCTTTGTTTTTTTGAAACGTGAGCGTTAAAAAAACCAACTGTCCACGCGAAGAAGCCTAAAAAATAAATCGCCTTTCAAAGAACGTCTGAGATGGTTTACTTAGTAATTTATCCCTGGTAATATATGATGATACTGATTTCCTTGTTTGAGTTTGATTGGCCGGGCTGCCGTTGTTTTCACTCGTTCTCCTCTCCGGGCTAAAACAAAAGCAACAAACTGCGTTATTACGGTTCAGGTTGTAATTAAAAAGGTACGAGATTAAAGAGACTTTAGAAACAGTGGTTTAGCAGTTTAGAAAAAATCCACCCATAGCTAATCGAGCATATAAATAGAAAAAAATGCTCAAAACAGTAAAGGAACACACATGTAACTTTGTAAATACAAAAGAAAGCGCTGATGGACAAAAACGGAGAAGATTGAAACGCCGGATTGCAATGGCTGGTATTAGCCTGAGAAAACAACCCACTTTTCGCGACGCTACTACTGGTTTCCCCGCGAAATGACGTCTGAGAAACGACCGCAGAAGAAGCAAACTTTCCACTAATCATTTGCACTACCCAGATGTGGGTAGTGACGCGTCATCAGTATGAGATTTCTGATCAATTTATGGAGTTTCTCGCGGGGAAACCAGTAGTGGCGTCGCGAAAAGTCGGTTGTTTTCTCAGGCTAGCTGATTTTTGTCATTATCAGTGTGACCGGCCTTAAACTGTAACGCTCGGCTAACACACAGGTCTATCATGAAGCTATAGCGACTGTCAAATTATTAAACATTGCTTTGAACAGTGACAAACTAATTGAATACGCAGCTTTGAAGTACTATGGGCGATAGTTAAAGAGTTCAAGAATCTATCTTTTTTCATTGGGCTAGTAAAGATAATCACCGTCACTAACATCTTTTTTTTACGTTTTGGGAGTCGATGAGAATTTTCAGATACAAAGACAGGTCATCCCGTTTAAGGTGTGCGGTCCAAAAAGACACCCTGTTCAAGACCCTAAATATTTAAATCATCATTGGATGTAATCTCGTACCCAGATCTCCCACGGCCAACAGAGTGAGATCTGGGTACGAGATTACATTGGATGAGGATGAGTATGATCTGAATAATTATGTAAAACAAGGACTTGTATTTTTTGCTGTTTTTAGGTAGTAGTTCTTCGTAAAACGTGAGAAATTCTCCGGCTAACACAATCTCGTCCCCAGGGCTTCTCGGTTGCCGCCCCTTTATCCGGCAATAGTTATTGTTGGTTTTCACATGACGTCACTAACATTCAAACTACAAAACTATCGATCCTGCTGAGATTTTACTTTACTGATGTATTAGAGCAGCTGAAAACTAATTTTCATACAAATTTTCGCTTCAAAAGGGTTCTTGGTTTTGTGATAGGGTACGCTTGAATTTCTAAGCTTTTACGTGATTTGGCATTTACACGACGGCCGAGAGAGCTATCATGAAGGTTAAAAAAGTGACTTATTTTGGGGAATTTTGCTATCTAAAGAGTTCATGGATTAGAAAAAGTATTACTTTAATGTTTTTGAGTTCCTCGAGGAATAAATTCACCCTTTTATACCAAAACTCGGTAACAGATGTTTTTGTTGGTTTCCTTCCGCCATGTTGGTGCCCATCCAGATGGGCACCAGCATGGCGTCTGCATACAAATTTCTATAAATTTGCGCAAAACATTTCTTCGGATATCGCTTATACGGAATATTCTTCTGACCTGAATCTTGGCGAGGGTCTTTGTATGTTTACCTCCTTTCATTTCCCATATTTCTTATTTTATCTAGTGAACCGTTTTGACTTTTATTTTGATCTATTTTGAATGGCGTGACACTGAAAACAAACAATTGTCGTCATTTTACCGACTAGCGCAGAAGTCTTGGTCAACGCTAGCTTGTTATGAAGAAATATCCGGGGGATTTGAGCCAGTCTGCTAATAGAGAGGAGAAGTATGACGTCACGTCACCATGCTAGCACTAGGCTGATTTAGGAACAGAACGGGAACGTCAGTTGACGACGGCGCGCGCAAATCAAACAACTGGCTTGACCAATGGCAGAGCGGCAAATTGAGCACCGGAAGTCGTGGTTTAGTCCTTTCCGCGCGCTTTCCCATCGTCAACTGACGTTCTCGTCCTATTGCTAAATCAGCCAACTGTTTCTGGATGACAACAAAACCAACGACGACGGGACAGAAGGAAAACGGCTAAAAAGTAAAAGGTTTTTATTGACAAAACAACAAATTTGCACGTGCATCACGCTATTTTGTACATTTCTTAGCCGTCGTTGCACCACTGCGACATGAAACTTCCTAATTTAACACGCTTGCTTTATGGAGTAGGTGAACACAACACAAAAGTTGTTTTTTTCCTCTTCTAAAATAGATACGCTCCTTTCGGATTCAACCCAAGAAATTTCGCCAGCATTTGCCAAATTAAATGAAATTGAATAAGATCGATGAAGTTTGAAGAGGTGCGAATTCACTTTTTAAGTGAGGTTTTCGCTTTGTTGTCATCCAAAAAGTTTGCTACCATGGCAACTTGACGTAACGAGTTCTCCTCTCTATTGATTTCTCTTATGAATAACTGATGACATAAAAATTATTAATATTACAATATGAACTTGAAGTACTTACAGATGGACACAACTTCCGCAAGATCTTATTCATGCCATATTTGTAATAATACTTTGGCATATTGCCTGTCATCAAGACCACGTCATCACTGGTGGTTGCTATGTTTCCGAAAACCGACTGGGTGCTGCTGTCGACGCCTTCTTTTATCCCAACAACCACAACGAGAACTCCGTCATTCTGGAACAATAGAATTTACAGAAATGTGAATTGAATAATCTATCTATAGAGCAGTGAGGGTGTTAGCGTACCTGGTCAAGTTCAGTTGGCTTTCACTGAACCGCAGAAGTCGAACTAGACCGCGAGCAGTCTCTTATTCTGCACATGAAACTGAAGCACGCTAACGGCGAAGCCGCGAGCCGTGATAAACGAGGGCGTCTCGTCCCAATCCCTTATTGTAACATAACGTCGTGGTTTGTAATCGCGCAGGCTGAGATAAGAACTAGACGGACTTTAAGAGAAAAAGCGGACTGCGAGCGGTCTAAGGTCGGACAGGCGCCGGGTTCAAGCGCTGCACTGACCGGTCATTGGCCGAAATCAATCCTTCGTTCTAGCGTGTCTGTCTTCCAGCCACACACGCGGACGACGTACTTTTGTAAACAGCCACGAGCGGACAGCCTTCATTATTAACCCTTAAGAGCCACTACAACATCAACGGACTCGTGTGGTCACAGTCTCGTGAAGTTGGCGTAAGTTTCCAAAATGCGCCCCTCAAATTTATTTCACATCGGCTAAACTCAAAATAATCACCTGACTATCAAACCTGAGAGGACGGTGCGCTCATCCCCACCCACCCCACCCCCCCCTCCCTCTCTCTCTCTCTCCATCAGTGCTCCTTTTCACGGGTATTCAAAGCTACATAAAGCTACGCGGAAAGAAAATAAGTCGAGAGAAGGATTTGTGGTCACGCCTGGGAATCCAACTCGGGACCTCCCGCACAGAATGTCATAGTCATAAAATCACGGCATCTGTTAGCTCTGTCGCGCTTTTTCACAGACCGAAATGACGATTTCCCTATCCTTCATATACTTCAACTAGTAAAATCATTACTCTTTCAGGGGGACGTCTGTACACAGGCTATCATTTCCTGGTCAAGCCTGAAAAAGGTGCCCCTTTCGGGCGAAGAGCTCCCGTAATTATAGAGCTCTATAGAGCATTATAGAGAGTAACCTCCAGGGTCTCGGAATTGACAGATTTCATACAATCCACTTCTCTACAACGCAGACACCTGTGTGACTCGGACTCTTAGCTCCGTCACTGTGTTGGCCGTATTAAGATGGTTTGACTGTAATAAAACCCAAGGTTACCTGTACATAGTATAATGTAAATTACCTTCAGTCCATCGAAGGCAGACGGGTTAATAGCAATCCCACTTGTTGCATCAGTGACAAACAGCAAAACGTCTCGAAAGTCGTGCCTGTCTCTGGTATAAAGCTCCTCCACTCTTGTCAGAGCGTTTACGTAATCATTTTGCTGTGAGACAAAACCTTCCGGTTTCCCAACATTATTCCGAATTCGCGTCAAAAGCACTGTTTCATCGGTAGAGGCTGCCTGATTGAAATCAACTTGAATGGCATTGGCTGTATTGATGGACACTATCCCAGCTTTGTTGCCTCCTTCTGAAACTTGCAGAGTGTCCACAAGGGTAACCAGGTAGTGAACATCAACTTGCTTTATGTCGGCAACAATCGATATATCCCCTTTTCTTTTCTTACCTGCTAGACAGGGCGCATAAGCTAAAAGAAAAGAATTAAACGCCAAAAAAATTAGAACGTGAACCTGAAAGCCGCAAAATATTTATATCAATTTTGCAATTCGTCGCCGGAAAATGCTGAAATACTTCACTGATCTGAATTTTGATTTGAGTCGACTTAGAGTCATTTACACAGTTGCAACGGAACAAAGGGCCTGAGCTGCCATTCTCTCGCACAACTCCAGTTGCTTATCTGTTTTAGGGTGAGAGAGGCCGATCGCAAATAGGTGCAGTCAGTGTGAGGGGGGAACACCCTCACATTGACAATGGTGTCGGGTTAAATTTTGTCGCGGATACTCCGATTTTGAACGTGGAAATGCTGCTGGCAACGAGATTACAGGGTAATCGAAATAGGGCGTCGTTAATGTGGTGACTTAGCAGCAAACAGAAGTAGTCACTCCGAGGCAGGGGCGGATCCAGGATTTTTTTCAGGGGGGGGTACACTCGTCTCTTGCTCTACTTCAACAATAATAAACCACATAGTTTTTTTTACCAGTTGTATTAGAAAACCGCAGGTCATCTCGGGGGGGGTGGGGTGCGCACCCCCTGCACCCTCCCCCTAGATCCGCCCCTGCGAGGCTATAACTACAACATACCAGATAGCTTTTCGTGTTGGCACGAAAAGTTATATACGGTGCAATATAGCAACAACAGCACGGAACTGAACAAGTCGTTCACACACATGGGAGCGGTTTGGCGCGGTAAATTGCTGTCCTCACCCCTGTCTGTCAGTGGGTTCCAACCCCTTACCCTTTTATATACCATTTTCGACAGAAAGGTACCCCTCTCGTATACCTTCTATTGATAAATGGTACCTCTTTCACAAACTAGTTTAAAACGCTGAATCTCTCTCTTAACTGCTGTAATTTAAATGCACCGTCTTTTAAAATACGGAGCTTTACCTCGCTTATTCCATCTCGTTCAATTCGGCAAATAATGGCCAATTTTTCTGTAGCTGAATTCTAAAGGACTGTCTTGAAATTCAGGGGAAGAAAACGAAAATTACCGTCTTGTGTTTACGTCCTCCATGAAACGTGAAATCTGAGGCATTTTCACGTCGTAGTATACCTGCCGAAGCTTGTGGATTACAGGACGACGTGATTCTACTTTGTTTGGCGTCGTCGACGACACCACGACCACGAAATTTACTGGTCGCGCTTGCGCATTACAGTGTAACTCACTTCCGGTCGTCGTCGACCAAGCCGTCGTCGTGGTTCTTAAGTTCCCTATTGTACAAAAAGGCGTGATGCACGTGCAGAGTTGTTGGTTTGCTAATGAAAGCTGTTTATTTTTTTGCCGTTCTCGTTGCCGTCGACGTCGTCGTTGCTTAAGCACCCTAATAGATTACTAAACCAGAAAGTTTTTTACAGTCTTAAAATGTGCCTGCTAGCCTTTTAGGTCCTTTGACAGATTTCAATAACTGATATCCCTAACCTTTCTTCAACTCATGAAACCGCTACCCTTTCATACACCTGAAGCCTGATAAAGGTACCCCCTTTGGGCGGAGCCTCCCCGTATAGGCCGTTATAGGGAGCACCCCCCCGGGGGAACCAATCCGATGACGATCCAATTTAAGAAACGGTCCAGATAAGAACGATAGCACTGAACGGCAACGAACATGTTGGAATGCAAAAAAGGTGCTAACTTTTCTATTGTCTGTACTTACTTCTGATTGGCTTAAAGAGCAAAAGTTAACAAAACTTTACAAAGCAGTACATATATTCATCCTTACTTTCCAACCATCTTCCACATAACAAAATCTGGTCTCAGTTTGAATAACAAAGAAAGCCTATGTGGGGAACATGTAAAATTGTAAACTTTTCTTGGCAATTGATTTCAACTCTTGGGATTGGTCAAAATCTTTTAACACAAAAAAACACCCTTTCAAAGTGGAGTGTAAATGCATTTTATATTGCGTAAACGGCCTTCATGTAGGTTTATGCATTCTCTGTGTAAAAATGAGAACATTCCTATGTGGGGAAAGCACCGTTTCCGCATAACAAAAGAAATTGCTATCCACCTTACCCGGATCATTACTTAATGTGATGTTCGATTTTCGGTTTTGCTTCTGATTTTAAAACTGAAAAGGTGGTGCGAGATTCTTCAGCCCTTTCAGAAATTAAAGTCAGGAGTCATAACACCCAAGCAATCTCAAAATTACTTTTTGAAAGCAGCCGCCGGTGACGATAATCACTTTCAGTACAATGATTTGAGGATGGTAATGAGTAGTAGTAACAGTGATGGTAATAACAATTTGTAATAAACAGAGAGGTAAATGTGATGATGATAATGACCAATGTGTATTACAATAAAATAACATTTCAACAGCGATTCATGATTTTTTTTTAGAATATTTGACACCGCGCCTGTCTTTGAAGTTACCATGAAAACGTAGATCACTTTTTTCAGGGGCACCCAACGAGGAAATAGTTCAAAACCACTTAACATAGCATTGTTGAACGTATTTTAGTATTTAAACGGTAGATATAGGCGTATTTTTATCCCCTAAAAACTTTTCATCTGTTCGGATTTCCTAGCTGAAAGTCTAGTGATCCGAAAATTATAGGGATCAAAACTTACCTTTTCGAAAATTTCAGCCAGGAAAAGACTCCCGAAAATTCTAGGTGGCCTTTGTTAGGGTAAACATCTGTTAAAAATGGGTAATTATACCATTTTTTAGATGTTCGAAAATCCTAGGAGAGGCAGGCAAGCAAGAAATTTTACAACAAATGTTCCGAAAATTCTAGATCTCAAATCGTCTTCCCAACAGATATTTTCCGAAACTTGCCGTTGGGTGCCCCTGTTTTTTACATTGCAAGATA